AAGTATGCACACTCCTAACAATACCCATGGGCTCCGAATCCATTTGCTCTGTGAATTCATGGAGACCTAACCCTAACCATAAATGGATTTTACCCGGATAGCATTTTCCCATGTATTTTCCCATGAAACGTAGATAAGGCAGGTTTGAAAACTATCCACATTCCTAATCATACCTATGGCTTCTAATTGATTGACAATCTCCATTTTGCTATGAGAATTCATGGATACCTAACCTTAACCCTAAGTGGATTTTACCTGGATACGGTAACCCTAACCCTAACCCTAACCCTTGCGGAACCCATTCTTCTCATTTGGCAGTAGCCACTTACCTGCCTGTGGCCTGCTTGTGAGCTGCCTGGGATTTGCAAATTCTTGCTGGCTTCCACAACCACTGACTTGGTTGTGAAAGGTGACAGGAGGGTGGTTTGCCTAGTGACTATAGGATATGGTTAACAATGGCAAACATGACTGCAGGGATTGCCACTGATTTAACCCTAAGTGGATTTTACCTGGATACGGTAACCCTAACCCTAACCCTTGCGGAACCCATTCTTCCCATTTGGCAGCAGCCACTTACCTTTTTTTTTTAAAAATTTGATTTATGTGCTGCCCTTCTCCGGAAACTCAGGGCGGTTTACAATGCGTTAAGCAATAGCCTTCATACTTTTGTACATTTATACAAAGTCAGCTTATTGCCCCCACAAACTGGGTCCTCATTTCACCTACCTTAGAAAAGATGGAAGGCTGAGTCAACCTTGAGCCTTGGAGAGATTCGAACCAGCAGTAAATTGCAGGCAGCTGTGTTAATAACAGGGTGCTTAGACCACTGTACTATCAAGACTCTTACCTGCCTGTGGCCTGCTTGTGAGCTGCCTGGGATTTGCAAATTCTTGCTGGCTTTCACAACCACTGACTTGGTTGTGAAAGGTGGCAGGAGGTTGGTTTGCCTAGTGACTATAGGATATGGTTAACAATGGCAACCATGACTGCAGGGATTGCCATTGATAAACAATGTGTCAACTTCAAAATGGCTTGGGCCTGTCACAGCCATTTTCTCTGTATCTCAGTTTGAAATACACGTTGCAGGGAGAATGGAGCTTTCGAATGTCAGACCAGACATCAACAAATTACTATCTCGTGGTAACCAAGGTCATCCTAACAAGTGCTGGCCAGAGACTGGAGGAGGTTACCAAGGAGACACCAGAACACCTAATTGGACCTATGACAAGGAGTGAGTGAGATGTATAATCTTTAATTATACTGAAAGCGTGGGAAATAACCAGAGCTGATTTGTTTTTCAACTGTGTCGAAATGATGTGCTCTATAAAGCAGTTCTTTGAGAAAGCTATAAGTTTCAGAGTTGCTGAATTGGCTGGGTTCATTACTTGGAATCTTGACAAAATTCTGTTGTGCTTTGGTGATGGCAAGTCCAGTCCCAATTGCCGTCATAAGTTGAGGACTATCTATGCAGTATTTCTACTCTGGTGTCTCCATGTTTACTAATCTTCTCTTCTGGGATAGGCTGATGCAGCCTAATTGAGAAAAAGTAATATTTTTTCCAACTTCTTATCAGTAACAGTGATCAAGAGGGCAAGAGATCAGATACCTAGCTTGGTTAGGGTTAGGGTTTTAATATGCTGAAAGTGAAATTATATGCCACGCTGTCTGTTTTTTAAATAAAAGTGAAAAAAAATCTAAAGTGGCATTATACACTGAGTTTTTAAATCAAATTCTGAACACACAGAAAGCCTCAGTAATTGCAAACAAAAAGTCAAGATGTTTACATCAGGACAATTATATAACAATCCAAACACCCTAAATGGTTAAGAAAAAGGGTTGTTGTTAGTTGTGAAGTCGTGTCTGACCCATCGTAACCCCATGGACAATGTTCCTCCAGGCCTTCCTGTCCTCTACCATTTAAGCTCACACCTACTGCTTCAGTGACTCCATCCAGCCACCTCATTCTCTGTCATCCCTTTCTTCTATTGCCCTCAATTTTTCCCAGCATTAGCTCTTCTCCAGTGAGTTCTTCTTTTTCATTAGGTGGTCAAAGTATTTGAGTTTCATCTTCAGGATCTGGCCTTCTAAAGAGCAGTCAGGGTTGATCTCTACTAGGACTGACCGGTTTGATCGGCTTGCAGTCCAAGGGACTCACAGGAGTCTTTTCCAGCACCATAGTTCAAAGGCTTCAATTCTTTGGTGCTCAGCCTTTCTTAAGGTCCAACTTTCACAACCATACATTGCAACTGGGAAAACCATAGCCTTGACTATACATACTTTTGTTGGCAGGGTGATGTCTCTGCTTTTTAGAATGCTGTCTAGATTTGCCGTAGCTTTCCTCCCCAGGAGCAAGCATCTTTTAATTTCTTGGCTGCAGTCCCCATCTGCTGTGATCTTGGAGCCCAGGAAAATAAAATCTGTCATTACTTCCATTTCTTCCCCATCTATTTGCCAGGAATGGAGAGGGCCGGATGCTATGATCTAAGTTTTCTTAATATTGAGTTTCAAGCCAACTTTTGCACTCTCCTTCTTCACTGGCATCAAGAGGCTCTTTAGTTCCTCTTCGCTTTCGGCCATTAGAGTGGTATCATCTGCATATCTGAGATTGTTGATATTCTCCCAGCAATCTTAATTCCAATTTTTGATTCATCTAGCCCCGCCTTTCTCATGATGTGCTCTGCATATAAGTTAAATAGGCAGGGTGACAGTATATAGAAAAAAAGAAAAAAGTAGCAAATACTTAATGCCCCATGTGATAGATGCTGTAAAATAATAATGTGTGATTTAGTGATTCCACAGAAGCAGTTATTCTATGGTATGCCCTTGAAATGCTAAATTAATAAAGCAAAGGGAAGGTAACATAATTTGACTCTTGAAATAAACAACTAAATTTGGATATTGTTCAGTTGTTCAGGTAATTGGTACATATTATATTAAGTATATGCAAATTTATACTTCATGTGAATAATACAAATTAAACGATTTTTTTTTTTAGATTTAGATTTTATTGAACTTCTATACCGAACTTTACCAAACTTCTATACTATAACTTCTATATTCTCCCAAAGGACTCAGGGTGGTGTACAGCCATATTAAAACACATATAAACCACAAAATTTAAGAACAATTAAAATATATATATATAAAATTTGGCCCACGAAATTAAAAACTAACAAACACCCAATTTAAAAATTCCTATTAGGCCAGCCCGGCTTGTTGGAATAAAAGAGTCTTCAGGGCACGGCGAAAGGTACGCAGGTTGGGGATCATATGAACCTCTAGAGGCAGCTCATTCCAGAGAGCTCGTGCCCTCACAGAGAAGGCTCTCCCCCTGGGTGTCACCAGTCGACATTGTTTGGCCGACGGCACCCTGAGGAGCCTCTCTCTGTGGGAGCGTATTGGCCAGTGGGAGGCTATCGGCGGCAGAAGGTGATTTCGTATATATTCCGGTCCTAAGACATGGAGCTCTTTAAAGGTGGTAACCAACACCTTGAATCGCACCCAGAAGACCACCGGGAGCCAGTGCAGCTTGCACAGGAGAGGTGTTATATGGGTGTGCCATGTCGCCTCCATAATCACCTGCGCGGCCGCATTCTGGATCAGTTGGAGCCTCCAAGTGCTCTTCAAGGGGAGCCCCATGTAGAGAGCATTACAGTAGTCCAGATGGGACGTGATGAGGGCATGAGTGACCGTGTGCAGGGCATCCCGGTCCAGAAAGAGACGCAACTGGCGAATCAGGCGAACCTGATAAAAAGCTCCCCTGGCCACGGCCATCATATGCTCTTCCAAAGACAGCCATGCATCCAGGACAACACCCAAGTTGCAAGCCCTCTCTGAGGGGACCAAGATCTCGCCCCCAATAGTCAGCGATGGAACCAGCTGACTATACCGGGACGCTGGGAGCCACAGCCACTCGGTCTTGGAAGGGTTGAGTCTGAGCTTGTTTCTCCCATCCAGATCCGCACGGCCTCCAGGCACCGGGTCATTACGTTAAGGGCATCATTGGGATGGTCCGAGGTGGAGATGTACAGCTGGGTGTCGTCAGCGTACTGGTGGAACTTTACCCCAAAACCACAGATGATCTCACCCAGCGGCTTCACATAAATGTTGAACAGAAGGGGCGAGAGGACTGACCCTTGTGGCACCCCACAAACAAGGCGCCTCGAGGTCGATCTCTGTCCCCATGCCAACACAAACTGTGTACGGTCGGAGAGGAAGGAGGAGAACCACCACAAAACGGTGCCCCCCACTCCCAACCCCTCCAATCGTCATAGCATGATACCATGGTCGATGATATCAAAAGCCGCTAAGAGGTCTAATAGGACCAGGACAGAGGAACAGCCCCTGCCCCGAGCCCTCCAGAGATCATCAACCAATGTGACCAATGCCGTTTCCGTGCTGTACCCTGGCCTGAAGCCCGACTGGAATGGATCTAGATAGATAGCTTCATCCAGGTACTGGGGAAGTTGTCGCACCACCACACTCTCAACAACCTTCGCCACAAAGCGAAGGTTGGAGACTGGACGACAGTTCGCTAATACAGCTGGGTCCAGGGAGGGCTTGGATATTGGGACAAGAAGATAGCAACCTTTTATAATAAAAGTAATAAAGAGATAAATAAAGACAGAAGTCTTTTATTAATGAAAGTACAGTAGCACTAAAGTAACCTAAGGTGTTTCCCTTAAGATGAAATCAAAGGAAGTCTCCCAGTCCATGAAAATCACATATACATTTCCATCAGAAAAAGCTGAGATGCTTTCTGGATGTTGTCTTTTTGCTGCCATATATTAATCATCCAGATTTTTGCAGCCCAGATAGTCTACTTCGTAACTTTTGCAGAGAAGACCTCCTGGTTGATGGCAGGATCTCTCTGGCAGCATCATTGTGATTAGTTAAGCCACAAACCATTGATCACAAACTACCAACAGAAGGCCAATAAAAAACACCTTATGATTTACTTTGTTGGTCACTGAATTGTTATTTTCTCAAAATATACTCACTTGACAACCCCTGGTATGTTTTTTCTTGCTCAATTGTCCATCTCTCTAGATCTGAATTCATTAAATGGAAATTCTTCTCAGGATACGCATAATAGAAGCATCCAGGGTGCTGAAGAGGCACTGATCTTTCGTCTTTCGCTACCACTCCACACAAGAAGATTTAACTACAACACCGCCAATTATTCCCCCAAAATGGCACGGAATAACACGCGCTCCGCAAAGAACCTACTCCAGAGGAGTAAACTCATCCTCTAATCCTCTGCATAGGGAAACCATCCTTGGACAATTCTGAATTGGCTGCCATATTACTCGCAGGCCGCCGCCTAGTAATCGCCTCAAGATTTCACGTGCACAGACCGGCCGTTAATTCTCGCGCTCTCCTCGGTGAGGCGTGAGAAAGAGGCAGCAGCGGATGGGCCGAGTCTGCTGTAAAACAGGGCGCAGAGGCACTCGCGCTCATGCGCGCGCTTGCAGCCGCGGTCACAGCCGGCGGTGGTTCTCCTCCGGCGCATGCGCCCTTTCCTCCGGTCTTGCTTAGACTATTTGAACAGGAAGGCGGACATATTTGTGAGAGGGCTCCCTCCTCGATTAGCTGCTGTGCTGAGGCGATAGTGACTTACACTGCGGCTTTGTACTTTTTTGCCTTCGCTCATCTCTGCAGTTGGAAGGAGTTTGCATTTCTCTCTCTCTCTCTCTCTCTCTCTTTTTTCTCCCCCCGCTCCCCACCCCCACCCCGGCGCCACGACGGACCAAGGTGGGGCAGCAGCCAGAGCAGCGGAACTCTAGCAAGCTGCACCTACTTCTCCGAGACTTTTGAATCCCGGTCCGCATCGGGAAAGAGAAAGGAAGAGAAACGCAGCGGCCGGAGAAGTCGCGGAAGAGGAGGGAAAAGGCAGCGAGGAGAGGAAGCTTAAAGCATCTCAACCGTTACGCGGTGGCCGAAGAAAACTCGCGCATCTGGACAGCAAAGCGGAGGCGTCGGCTTGCTTTCCCCGACCCAGAAGTGGGGGCTAGCGGGGCCTCTCTGAGGCGGCTCGCCCGCGCTACCTCCGCCGTGGCTTGAGTACGAAATGAAGCCGTGCGCCGCCTCAGGCCCGAGTCTCGGTGGAGGGAGCAGCTGGATGACGCTCCGCTGAGAAAGTTTCCTGTTTTTCATGGTAGGCCTCGCGCTTTTCCTCCACCCCTCCTTCCCTTCTTTCAAAGCTGCTGCTGTGCAGCTAATGCCCAAAGAGAAGCCGGAGGAACGGCTACACTGATCGGGGAAAATGTGGTTCCTTCGACACAGGGCCTCGGGCTGGAGACGAGAGCGCACCGGCGGGCTAGGGAGTACAGCCTAGAGACTCGCGGAGCGACAGAGAAGGCGGCTCCCCCAGGACGGAGCAGCGCCTCCCTTCCCGTTTTCGACGTTCGCTTTTGTCGCGCGACGATGTGTAACGGGGGGAGGACAAGGGACAACCCCAGCCAGACTCCGGCTCTTCTCTGAGAGGGAGAACTCAGGGAGACAACCCCCCACCCCCCCCCACCCCCGTCCTCCAGATTTGATTTCCTGTGGATTAAGGAGACCGCCTCTTCAGCATTATGTCGACAGGAGAAAGCTTTGAGTCCCGGTTTGAAAAAATCGGGATGATGATAAAAGACCCCAAATCTGAAGTGAATTCGGACTGCTTACTGGTGAGTGGCATTGACTTCCTTTTTGGTTTCTATTAAATGGGAGGGGAAGACTTCCTTGAGGGTCCACCCCCACCCTCCTTAAATACAAGATCTTGGTTGCCTTTTTATTTCTGGAAGTTTAAGTCTTGTATGTATGGATGATAGTGATTTGAAGAAGGTTACTAGAAATATTTTGACCAAGCCTTTTTGTATCAGCACTCAGTGTAGAAGGGGGCAGCTCTATTTTCTCAAATTAAAATTAATTTACTCTTGTAGGCTTATGTTTGGGTCAAGGCCCACTATAGGGAGTATAGGAATTAGGACTAGAAGTTTCATCACTAAGTGATGCAGTTGTTAAGCAAATTGCATCCAATTTTATGACTTTCTTTGCTACCGTTAAGCGAATCACCATGGTTGTTAAATGAATTCATGTTAACATTGCTTGTCCAAAGCTCCCTGACAAAGTTGCAAATGATGATCACGTGACTCCCAAGATGCTGCCAATGTATATGCTGGTTGCTAAGTGTCCAAAATTTTGTCGTGTGACTGCTGGGAGGCTGCAATGTTTGTAACCGCAAGGATTGATCATAAGTCACTTCAAATGGTTGTAAATTGAGGAGTACCTGTAATGTGTTGTGGAACCCTTTTGAGAATTGGAAATCAGTTCAAATAAGTCAAAGAAATTGAATTACCTCAAAGAGGTTAAGATGATTGTATGATTCATGTATTTTCCAACCAATAGAGTCCATGTACTGTCTGATACTGATACTGTTGTGCTAATATTAGGGATATGTTCAAACATACTAAACTGAACATTTGGTTAGTTTGTGACTCAGAAGTGAACCTATGTAGTTTGTTTATGATTCTGTGGTTATTGATTCAGGCACTTGGTTAAGTAAATAGACTATATTTCAGTTAACCATGGAATAATTTGTGTAAATATAGCTGTGGTCAATCTTGTAGAACATAGGTTCCTAACCAATTAAGATTAGTCCAGGTAGCCAATGGTTTTCTATTCTACTAAAGAGACAGGTTAAATTGGTGTATGATGAATTGAATTTTAGGTTGCTGAATTAGTTTACACCCTTGTGCATAATTTCATTTTTCATATTAACCCGATGAATAAGTCTATATGGCTTATTTGTCCTTATTTTTTCCCATAATAAAAATGTAACTTTAAAATGTTTGATTACCGGTCCTCAAGACTATTAAGGTAGGGTGTGCAATATCAGGGTGTAATAGAACCCTTTCCAGTGTACAATACTATATATAAAAAAAAGAATTGAAAGCCACATGGCAGTGCAAAGTAAAGAATCATATTTTAACTTTATTTTGTGGTTAGTTTATAAACTTTATAATTGTTAAGGAGGACAAGTATAATTGAAAATAATTATTGAGGCTTCGTATGAGACTAGGCCATTGTTTTAATTGCCTTGCTATCGGATCACTGTATTCTACTTTTTAAAAAAATAAACTGCCTTTCCTTGTTTTTATCAATGTCTTATCAAGTGTAAAGTGATACATTTTCTTTCTGTTATAGACAGGAGATATCCATCAGTGCAGTAACTGTAGCAGCCTACTGTGTATTTGGTATACACACATACACACACACACACTTACTCTACAGTGCTCTAGGTATTCCTGTTATGCACCTGATTTTTATTTATTATATATGTGTGTGTAGTATATGTGTATATGTATATATAAAAATCAGGTGCATAACAGGAGTATCTAGAGCACTGTAGTTGATGTATCCCTTTTGCTGCCCTTGAAAGCTGCCTCTCCCTTATGGGGAAAGCTGGAACCAAAATTCCAGCCATTTGTGGGTGGAGGATTAAGGAATTAAGTTGCCCCTTAGTTTAAAGTATCATTTTGCTCCTTAAAATCCCCTAAATATCCTCCTCAGATGTCCCTCCAGTTTTGAAAAACAGCCATTAACATGTTGCAGAAAGCCTGGAAATGTCCTTGAAATGCTAGAAGTTTCTCACTGTTGGGTATAATATTGATATGAAAGCACTGCTTGTATCAGTTGTTCATAGTAAATGCTTTGTGTGTTAGGCTGATGATTGGGGCAGATTCATTTAACTGTTACTGTGTACCTTTTGAATTTACTTCATGGGAATGATATTTTTTAGCATAGTGATTGATGGTTACACTAAGTCGATAATCCAGAGTAACTACTAAATGTCTTATCAGTAATAGAGATGTGTATGGCCTGTAGTGAAGTAGGAAGATGCCTGATGTGAATTAGAGTTTTTGCCCAAATAGTTTAGTAGAATTTTCTATGTTTATAATTGGGTTAGATTCAAGATAGTTATCTTGTGTGTCTAATCTAGAGGAAATAGTATTTTAATTTGGGAATAGGGCTGTGTAGCACTTTGGTTTAAAACTTCCAAACTTGATCCATAGTGTATGAGAGCACAAATACGCTTCTTGTTTACAATCTTAAACTAATGTGTTCTTTCTCTGGATTTCATGGCTGCGTTGGAAGACAATAATGTGACTCTTGGAAATGACATAGATGCTTTAAATTGTTGCAAATAGGTGTAGCATTATTCAAATAACTTCCTTGGGGTTGAATTAGCCTTAATGCAGAGAGTATACTCTGATATTAAGCTAAATTCTAAATTGGTGGAAAAGCGATAGCAGATCACTTCTTACCTGATGCTGCTCTACTCTTGTTCTCCTGGCTCTTTTTCCCCTTCTTCTGACATTATTGGCTCTTTCATTTTGTATTTTGGAAACAAAAGTCTATGTACATGTATAGTCTATAATACATATGGTTGGGTTAATGTTTTCATTTTATGTATATTGTGTAGCTTTTGATAACCAATATTTTGCCTGCATCATTGTACATGTCTAAATAATGGAGTGAATTTATGGTGGTACTGTGAATAACAAACAGTGAAACTTTCAGCAGAATCAACATCTATATTTGATTAAGGAAGCTGTCAATTTATCATTTAGCATGTATGTTATGTTTCCTGGCAAGGACCAGATGTAGCACTGATGCTCAGGTAAAGCCTGACACTTACTTACAGATCTCACCCCCATCTTCTCTTTCCTTCCCCCCCCCCCCCCTGAAAAAAATACTGTTAATTGCTTTCTCATTTGTACCTATTCTGAAGTTTATATAAACTCTGCAGATTTTGGATCTTAAGTAGACTAACTTGTGCATGTCTTTCTTTTTTTTTTTTTTTTTTTTTAGTTTTTACTTATTTTAGCTTTATTCTGAGTTTGTAGCAATTATCTATACTTTACATATATCAGTGATTTTAACATAGTGCTATCCTTAAAAATGTTTAGATATTTCCATAATGAAGACTATACAATAATGATTATCATAATCCAATATTGAAACATCTATGTGTTATAGTCTGTTAAAATTTAACTAGCTTATAGACCACCTCTTCCATATATGAACCTATTTTATTGTTTAGATCTTGAGATGTCCTTTTAAGGATTCTATTATTTACAGTATTTTTAGAAGAAATATTTACTAAAACTTTAAGAATATTCTAACTCAAAGTTTCTTTGGAAATTCAGTTTATTATATCAGGTCTGCAGACAGGCACTGGTCCATGGCATGCCAGCAACCAGGCCACACAAAGCCACATCCATGGGATGCAGGCAGCATGTGAAATCACGCCCCTTCTGGGCTGCAGAAAAACCTCTCTCCACGGAACCGGTCCCTGCTGCCCAAAAAGTTGGGGGCCACTGTATTACACTAACAGTTACCTAATGAAATCAAAACAAATCAGTTTGGGCAATTAGAATTTCTATAGTGCTTTAAAATC